GTGCCACAGTACAATCATGGCTGAAAATCTAGGAAATGTTTTTGTACAATCTTCATACAGCAACCAACATGTTTTCTCAGTATCAAAATAATAATAACAATAATATCCAGCCCCAATAATATGCTTTATGATAATAGTGGGAAAACCTTTTTCCATTTAGAAAGTAAAAAAGAGAATAAAGTTGTATATTTTCATTAGCTTACTCTTGTAATAAATCTGTCAAGCTGTAAACGAGTCCAGCAGATTTCCAACAAATTTTTACCACAGCAGCTTCACAAAGAGATTCTAACATTGACAAGCTCATACAAACACTGCTATGTTTATTGTCCTTATGCATCTCTAATCCCTCATTTTCTACACTGTGTCAGTTCAGACACATTAGTTTGTTAACTCCGATTATGAACACTTACCCTTATGGAGGAAAAAACATTGCTTTTCCCTTTAATTTTGTACAAACTGAGTTTGAGAAATTTGTATATAAAACCTAAAGATTGATTCCTTACATTTACTATCTTGCTATAACTAATGCTAAATGAGGTAAAATTAATCCATGTGATATTTCATGCAAATATAAATACAGTAAAAACCAGAAACAGTAAAGAAAAGACTGAGAGTGATTCTCAAAGGTTATAAAAATGGAGATTAAAGCATTACTGCATCTTCCTTTGAAGTAGGATTTTTGTTTACAGAAATACTTGTTAATGTGTGATTTAAATCTCTTCTTTAAACATGGAGTCATATCTGCAGATCGAGCTCTGACCTCTGGACAATAACTGAGGTAAGTCACTCTCTGATCTGCAGCTGCGCCTTTGAGCGATTTCCCTCGGAGGAAAGAAAAGTTCTTTGAGCAGCTTCAGAGTGGAAAATCAGCAGAGTTCATGTGCTGTGAGGAGACGGCGTGAGTGTGCTGAGTGGTGACCGACTTCTGGTGTTTCTCCAGGTTCTGCAGATCCTCCAGCATCTCCTCGATCAGTGGAGGCATAGAGCCCGGGATCTCCATCTTCAGTGTCACCACTCGCTCAGCTCCTGTAGACATGGTTTAACAATGCACGCGTAAAGCTTTATTGGCAGGGAAACTTAATGTGATATAGATAAACAAAGTCTGCGTTTCACCCGTATTTACAGACACCAGCTTTCACCTTTGATTGTCAGGCATGTCAAATGTTGTGCTGGTTTTTATCTTGTGCCAAATATGCTGCACATAAGTTTGTACTTTATGTTTAATGTGAAAATAAATGCACAGCTACAATTCCCCTGTGGGAGAGGAGCTGAAGTGTGTCAGATACACAATGTAGGAACCCACCGGTTACACTAAGAGGAGGATGAAATGCATAACATGCCTTGCAGCATGAGGCAAAGAACACTTTGCTCAACTATTATGTGGTAGCCTATTAATAGTAACACTAGTTCTGTAGCAGGCAGCCATTGATGACAGCAAATTCACTGTGAGACACTTAACAAACACTGTGCAGATGAAAGCACTTTGAGAAAAGGAAGATTTGAAAACAGTCAAAGAAAATTCCACTAAACCCAAAGTTATTTCCACCCGGTTTTTATCTAGAGGAATTAAACAATAAATAAATAAATAAATAAATAAATAAAAACATTTCAAAAGACAAAAAGATGATAGGAGGAGTAAATTGTTTTCTTTTCGTTTGTCTTACAAAAACTTTTAAATATTAAAGAAGTATAGTCATTAAAAATGCAGGTAATACTTTATAAAAAATAGTACAGTATTAGTAAGGCATTAGCAAGAGCTTAATTCACGATTTATAACGCAATACTCCTCCTTAGTATGTCACTTATAAATACAGATATGTTTATTCATCTGTTTCTGTTACACCATGCACAGCTACAGGGGCCTTCCAATGCATAATCATTTCTAGTAATAATCATTTTCATAATAATATAGCTATATTTATGAATTACATACTAAGGAGGAGTGATGCAGTATAAATGATAAATTAAACACTTGCTAATACTTTACGAATACTTAATCACGTGACATTCATCTAATACATAATACTTTTTACTAATCCTGGGTAAACATAGCAACGTTCTGATCAGAAAGGTTTTACATTTCGGACAAAAGTAATGCAGTAACATTGGCAGTCATTCAAAATAGAATAGCAGGATTGTACAAACTGTAACAAACTGTAATCTATGAATTGAAATACTTTGTGATAAGTTGGGTTCCCCTGACCTTTAGCGCTGATGCTACGTAGGTCGGTAATCTTCATGAGGGCCTTGGGGAACATCAGGGGCATGCTGGGTCGCCGCTTACGGGAGTAGATCTTCAGTGCCTCCAACAGAGGCTCCTGCAGGACTTCTACCTTGGACGGCTCCTCCAGGTCCTCCCGATCTGTCCAAGACAGATATCAAACATTTCAACAATTTCAAATTTGGAGTTGTTAATTGTTGATTGTTGTTGTCATATTACTACAAATGTAATTGGGATTGTGACGACTTAGTACCTCCAGAAACAAGACAGATGGCACTGAGGAGCCCACTTTCCGTGTCATCCATCTCTAGCGGCAGCAGCTGGCCAGCAAAAGTGAAAACCTGATCCGTCAGCGGCCCAAATCCTGCATTGTGGATCTGAGTACGAGTCAGTGTCAAGCCATCGGAGAAGGTCATGGTGTCCTGGTCAGGAGTGTAGCGAGTGCAAATCCTCAAGATCTAAAAGTAGGAAACATGTATGTGTACCAAGTCATTTTTTTCAATAATATTGTATTTGTCTTTAAAAAATGTTAAATAAAAAGACTCAAAAGCAAACAAACAACAATCTGTTTATATTCATTAAAATGTGTCAATCCTTATCATTCAAAATTTGTCTGTATTGCAGGCAGAAGGCCTTTATCATATGGTTCAATATTTATATTGCATAATAGTTTAGAAAGAAACCTTCCTGCTTTTAATACTCAGGCTTTTCCAGTTGTTGTTGTTTTTTTTATCATTTCTTTGTAATGATATCTCATCTGTATGAGTAACAGCAGACCACTCTAGACACTCCAACTCCTTGTCATCTAAACTTTAAATAATATTACATGCTGTGCCCTGTTTCTGGAGAATTGCTTGAATACAAATATTAAATAATATATAATTGGCGTTCAATATGGTGCACACTTCTATCAAAAAACATGAAAACCAAATCAGGAAAACAAAATTCCCAGAGTGATTAATCAGGGAAATTTTGTCACCGAGCTTTTGATGGACTTCATGCAGAGATTGTGAGAGTGCAGCTAAATTATCAGACTGAGAAAGCAGTTATGACAGACTTGGCAGCAAATGATGGAGGATAAATTAGATGAACACACGCAACACTCTGCCTGAGGACCACTTTCTGTCTGCCTGTCAGTTTGTCTTTGGCATGAATGTCGACAGGCAACGTGAGTCAAGATCTACCAAAGGTGTGAAATGCAGGAAGAGCTGCAACTTTACATAACTTGTTCAGGTCATTTACCTGAAATAAAATACAAAACGGTA